AGGCGGGAACCCCTGGGCTGCATGAGCACTTGACCAGGATGAGGCTTCAGAGACCAGCTGTGACCACGCAGCTGCTGCCTCAGAAAGCCATTCTCTTCGTGCAAACACCCGGCCACTTTCCTGGTGCCCCTGCTTCCCGCGGCCATCAAGCCCCAGGCAGCCACCGCCAGGCACGCCGCCCACAAGGGGGTCCCGGCAGGGCGTTCAGCACTTTATGGGACAGACCAGGACGCCCCCAGCTCAGAACAGCTGGGCAAGAAGAAAGAGGGTTCCTCATGGCCCCCCCTGCGGCCACCCCATCCAGAGGCCATCCAGTCGGAACATGTGCCACTGTCTTCTGGGGCCACTTGAGGCGACCCCTGCCCCCCAGCTGGGGGCACCCACAGAGGCCTGAGCTGCTGCAGCAACTTGTCCTGTGAGGTTTCTAGAAACCCTGCTGCAGCCGGGACACCTCCTGCCAGGCCCGCCTTCCCCAGGGGAACCACCTGGTTGAGGGGAGCCCGCAGCTCACCGGGACCTGAAACTGACAAACCTAAAGTGTGTGGAGGGGGGGGGCGGGGGGGCAGTGCTGAGGGGGCAGCTGGGGGGACCCATGTCACCAGAGCTGAGGGAGCCCACCGCCCCACCCCCAGAATTTGGGAGTTCACTCGATAGAGGTGTTTGGCACTTGAATTCCACAGAAAATTAAATCAATTACCGAGTGTAATGAAGAACCCCAGGTTTTAATTAAATTGGGCTTAATTACATGGCGAGCGAGGCTCTGTCAATGCCCTGATCAGGTCCTGCGGGGGTGGGAGCCTCAGAGGAGACCACGTCTGCCCTGGCGGGAGGGGACCGAGGGGTCCCACACTCGGAGGCGGCAGCAGGTGTGGCGGGGGTCACTGGGGAGCGGGCACCGCACCCACGTTCCTGTCCCAAAGCCCCAGGCCCCGCAGTGGGTCAGCGACTCCAGCCCAGCTGGACGACCCTGCAGGCAGCCCGGGTCTGACAAGCCACACAGCCGGCTGCTGCCGGGCCTCCCGTCCTTCGCCTGGGGCAGCCGGTGCCCTCTCTCCAGGGTGTCATTGGCACAGTGGCAGCCTCGGAGCTCAGCTGGGCTTGGCATCCAGCCCGACCTCTGCCCGGAGCTCTATGTGGGGCCCTGGTGCTGCTGCAGGCCCTCCCCTGGGCTCTTCAAGCTCCCCCGGCTCTGACCCCTGGGACCCGGTGGCTGGTGGATGCAAAGGCCTGGCCTGGTCCAAGCGGGTGTTTCCATAGATGCCACCTGCGCTGGGCTGGGCCTCCCACCATCTGCTGCCCAGCCCTAGGTGCTCAGCGGGCTGCTGGGAGGGGGGAAGGGGTGAGGGTGACCTACTGGCCAGGCACAGCCCAGGGGTGGCTTTTGGGGGCTGAGAGCTCAGGGGTGCGTGAGGGAGGCACCAGCAGGTGCCTTGCATGGGGAGTGGATGGACCGCGTCCAAGTCCTGACTTCACACGTGGGAGCTTCTGTGAGTCGGAGGAGGAGACAGGGCCCAGGGCCGTCCCGGGCACGTGAGGCCCTTCTCAGGTGCCCAGCGGTGGAAGGAACAGAGCTCGAGTCCACGCAGGCAGCTTGACCAAAAGCCATCCCAGCGCACGGGCTTCTCCCAGGCCCTCCTGCCCCGGCTCCGGAGCCGGGCTGACACCCTGGACATCGGGGCACTTGTGCTGTTTCCCATGAATGTCACCGCTGCTCGGGCAGACTCAGCAGGAACGGTGGCCTCAGGCGGCCCCGGGCAGCACCGGCCGCTCACTCCGCACCCTCGGCTGGGCAGGGCCGCCCGGCAGGTCGGCCGATTCCAACCCACTGAGCTCACAACCCCGGCTGGAGCGCCAGAGGAACCAGCTCCTCCCGTGGGCACGTCCATCGGGAGCTGCTGAGACCCTGGGGTCCTGCCCCTGCCCCTGCCCCTGGCAACGCCTCACTGCCCCCTCCCTGTCCTCAGGCTCCTGAGCAGCCCCTGCACCCCCCACCAGCCCCTGAATCTGATGAGTGTGTGTGGAAGCGTCCTACCTGGTGCTGGGAACCCAAACCTTCACTGTGATTGTCTGATGTATATTTATTTCAGAACAGGCAGAATTAATAAGATACTGGCTTTAAGGAAACCATGGCAACGGAATGCAGAAAGGCTTGTCCCGGCAAATAGATGAATTCATAAATAACCCTGAAGTGCTGATATCAACAGCCCAGGGACCCTGCTCAATGCTAATGCAGGGGGTACCCCACACCCTGTCCTGGCCAGGACCAGCCCCCCAGAGGTGGCAGACCCCCAACTGTGACCCCGAGATGGTGCCAGGTGGGTGAGCACTCTGTGCTGGTCCAAGGGGCCCTTGCAGAGCTCAGTCCCCGTGGGGACAGGGTCTGCAAATAAATGGCCCTGGGGTGGGGGGTGGACACCAGGGAGCCACGGGGTCTCCCTTCAGCTCTGACAGCCGGAGGGGGGGCTGGGGGCCTCTGGTCCTGCCTTCCAGGGCAGAAGCGGGTCATGGGAGGAGAAACTCCTTCCTTCATGCAACCATTCATTCATCCACAGATGTCCACGGGCCACCAAGAGTGTGGGGTACAGCAGCAAGCGAGGCGCTGGCAGGGGTCCCAGGGGAGCCTCCAGACCCAGGAGCAGGGGGCCCTGCCAGTGATCTCTGACCTCAGAGCTGCCCGCTCAGCACTGACTGACTCCCCTGGCACCGCCCTCAGGGCCCAGCTTCCGCTGCCCTGGCCTTCACTTGAGCATCTGAACAACCCCCGGGAGCCGTGGTTGTGCCCGGGAGCCGAGGGCCACCTGCAGGACGTGGCTCAGCCCCAATGCCCAGGTGTGTGTGTGGGTCCCAGGTGTGTCCCCTGCATGGAGCCTGGCTGCCTGCCTGGGCGAGGGTGCGGGTCCTTCACCCCGAGCCTGCATCTCCTCATCCACACAGGTGCGCCCTGGCCCTCCTGGCCGCCTGATGCCACCCCTGTTTCCCTG